GCTAGGTCATGGGAGACATCCCTGCAGCTGGGGTCTCCTCCACCTTCCCCCACAGCCTCTCTTCTCCAAAGGTCTTTCTGTGACTGATTCCCATTAATAGAAAGTGTGAATTTTTCTTTTTTTCTTTTCTTTCTTTCTTTCTTTCTTTCTTTCTTCTTTTCTTTTTTTTTTTTTTTTTTTGCTTAGCAGCATACAAAAATGTGTATCTGTCAGATTCAGGATTTGGCAACATTTTCAAGTATTTTAAGTGGCTCTCTAGAGCAGAGAGAGAAGAATGGATCAAAGGAGTGTGCAGAGAGTGCTCTGTGCTAAGGTCAGGAAAGGAGCTATTTGAAAGGGAGGGGGAGGAGAAGAGTGTGTTACCTTCGCTGTAGAGACCAGGAAACAGCAACTTGCACTCTGCCAGGCATTGTGGGAAGAGAGAACAAAAATAGTTCCTGAAAACAGACTGTATTGAGCACTTTATAAAATCGGCACCCAACAGGGTCCCGAGCAGTGCCGACGTGTGCGGATGCTCAGGGCTTCTGGACCACAAGTGGGCCTGGGAAGGCTAATGAGGCAGTGTTCTTGTGAAGACTGGAAAGGTCACATTGAGTTCCAGGGACAAATGCGGATCTAAATAAAGGGCTGTCCTTCCACAGTGTGCTGTAACAAATGCTTTAAAGAACTTTTCAAGCACATTTCGGCACCAAGGCAAGCATTTTCCGCTGTGGTAGTGTTCACAGGATACTGGGTCCAGGTGCAGATGTGGAAAGGATTCTGTGATGGATACAGGAGTTCTGGGGGTCAGGTGCCTGGCAGCCTTGTTGGCAAGTAGAAGCGGAAGTGCAGGCAGGTTTGGCCTCTGTCGCTGGATGAAAGTTCAGAGTCAGAGAAGTTGGCCAACATCCTCCTTTCCCATTCCGTACCATGATGTTATCCCTGGTAAGTGAGCTGTAGGCAGTGCCCTTGTCATCAGCCCAGTTTCAGCAGGTGGATAGGATGCAGCACAGGATGCACTATGCCCTGCTCTGTTCCTAGGTGTCAGGCGGGAATGGAGAGATAGAGATACAGTGTCAGGTACAGTGCCCGCCCTCTGTCTTGGGAATCCTAGGTTGCCACAGGGAAAGGACCCTAGAGCTGCCGCGCTCCTCCGCTCCTGCCTCCCATCCCTGACATCCTCCTTGCCTTTGTCGGAGCCCACCTGTCCCTGGGCAGCCCATCCCTGGTTGCTCTTCCATGTAGAGAGTTGTGTGTTTTTGGTGAGTAAGACTCAGGTTCTCTCATGCCTATTTGTACAGTACTCCTCAGAGTGATTGTTTTCTTTCTTCATAGACTGCGTTTTTAATAGTTTCTTTCCTGGCTGAAAAATGTCCACCTACTTCAACCATCCAGTGCATGGCAAAATCAACCATGCTGGTTGCTGGGCTGCATCAAGTCTCTTCAGCATAGCTTGGAAACCCAAGCCGGCAGGCCCTGGAGAACAGAGATGGGTGGCTGGGCCCCTGGCCTCCCCTAACACAACCTGCAGTCAGTGCTGCAGGGCTTCTGGTAGACCCGCCAGCCTTCCTGCAATCCCGGGGTCAGGGTCGCCTAGCCCACTGCGTCATTTCCAAGGGGTTGCACTGAGTAGAGATTTCTCTGCCTGGGCACATGCGGCGTGCGGCGTGCTGCTCAAGTTGGGCATCACTGAATAGTTTGGGGAAGTAAGTCTCTCTCATTGGGATCTTTCTTTCTTTCTTTCTTTCTTTGTTTCTTTCTTTCTTTTTCTTTCTTTTTTGCCTTGGTCTTAATTTTTATTATCTGTACAAGAATTTGCATGACAGAACCTATAATGCCTTCAAAATAAATAACAACAACAACACTAATACCCCCTCTCTTTGGTGCAGCCTTGTATAGTTTTGGAAACAGTTTATCATGAATTACTTCCTTTGATTAAGAATAATAACCCAACATCAGCCTTCGCACTGGGCCGTATCCCTGATTATGAATCAGTGAACACATATTTGAATGGGCCGGGTCCTTAACACAGGACCCAGATATCCAGCTCCCTGGTGACCGTCATAGCTCTCCACTGTTCATCTTTCCCCTCTGGGGAAGGGTGCCGTCCACGTCTGCTGCCCACGTCTTCCCGACAAGAGTCAGGCACGAGCCGCCGTCGTATAGAAAGCAGGGTTTGTGGATCCCAGCACAGCGGGTCTGGACTCCAGTTCCTGGCTTCCTGGTCCCACACACTCTCAGACATTTCTCAGATTTTCTCTCTTTAAAAGGTTTTAAAATAACGCCATAGATTTAAATATGTGACTCCTATTGATTGGCGTAGTTTACTCTGTATCGTTCGGAGTGAGTCCTTGCTTTCTGACACTGTCTCCTCTCTTGAGTCATCTCTAGGGTTTTGCCAGTAGTCAATGCCAACAACCTGCCCAAGGCCCGTTTCTTTTCCTACATTTGAAGTTTAGATTGCTTTTTCATCTTCAATCTTCTGATTTTTCTTCTGTTCTTGTGAGTTTGCAAAGATTTCTGACCCTTATCCTGAAAGTTGTTTAGTATGCTGGGAAATAATTTGTATCCTTTTTCTAACAGTTATCTAAAGTGACTTAAGTACAATTTAATTAAGACTAAAAATAATTACTATCATTGCAATGGTAGTATTTTTAAAAATAGCCCACAATTCTATAATCCCAGCCTAATAACTAGTTTTCATTTTTGAAATGCTTTACACATATACATATTACTATATTTTCAATTAAAGTGTTCATTTAACGGAATCTGCCTTGAATCAATACCGCATCCAAAGCATCTGTTTGGGTTCTCAGAAATATTGTCAATGTTTGATATTCTTGTGGATTTACTAAACTTTCTTGAAGTCTCTTCCTAATACTGGACTGAGCGCCATTAGATTGCTGTGTGGGTGTGTAACACAGCAGTGGCCATCTTTATGTACATCTGTTTGTAAAAACTGACCATAGCAGATAATGCATGTGCATGGTTCAGAGTGCACAGGGTGAAAGGGACAAGGATCAGTCTCTCAGCCTCCATTTTCCTCTTCAGAGACAACCATGGTTACCACTTTCTTACATGTACTTTCCAAAATATTTTATTTTCATTTATGTATTTTCTCTTTACAAATAGTAGCATACTATATACATTATTATTTGCTTTTTTTCACTTATGACAGAGAGGGATGGATGTCAATATATAAAGAATCCCTCATTCTCTTTTATGTCTGTGTAATATTCCAATGTCTGGGCTATAAATTTACTTAACTAGTCATCTACTAAGGAGGCATTATGGTTGTTTTTAGTCTTTGCTATTATATATAATCCATGCTAATATATATAACATATATGCGTATATATAATATGTATGTATCCATACATGCACATGTATTTATTCGTAGATAATGTGTGATGAAACCCTGGCATGCATGAACATTTGCCCATGTGCA